ATTTACTGGAAATAGCTTAAACACTGATGCACATCTGTTAGAGTCTGCATATATTCCAAACTTTATGCCAATTGAAAGGTGTACGATATTGCACTATAGCAAGGATAATCTGTTTTTACCCTCTTGTCCAAATTTCCGGTTTACATAACAATTTTTCCATCACTCAGGGGCATATATCAGTTTACTTACGGTATTGCTTTGATGGAATATCTTAATTTTCAAGTGGTATAAAGTTCGGATATAAACTCGTACAGTGGTGCATCATTAATTAAACCATTTACCCTAAGTTCAGCACTATTGGTTTTAAAATTAGCTGGGCCTAATACTACGAGATACGTTTTTATTAGTTGAATTGCTTCGGTAATCCTATAAGAAATGATTGGTAACCTAATTCATGAAAATTAGAAATACTTTTTATTTAGAATTAAAATATATTAATCGCTAAATGTAACCTGAATATAGCTGATTGAATATCTGCAAGGTCCCTTGTGTACTTACATGCAAATATGAGTAAAGCATTTTCCATCCACGGTCTTTTAATGGTGATGGGTAATTTATTATATTATCAACATGCGCAGGCTTTTATAACCTATCAGCTGCTATCAGCTGTCTTGTAACTTATGATTATGCAATTTAATCTACATTTGTGAATATAACATCTTGCATTAATATACGTAGTTTTGTAGAGTACTTTGCTTCATGTTGGGTAGCATTCGCTATAAAAATGGACTTAGTGGTCTAGAATGTCGTTCTCTTCACATTTCTATAATGGATTAAGAATTTGCTGAACACAAAATGAACATATGCAATATTCGTATCGTAGGTCAAAAGGTACTGGAAGTGAATTAAAAGTTTTAGCAGAAAATGGAGAGAAAAAGATCAAAACCTCCAAGTTATTTAAAAATATTGGCATTAGGACTGTCGAGGACAACACAGTAAAGTACTACAAATTGAAGGGGGAAAAAAGCGACATTTGTGAATATGGCTTCCGCCAAAAATCATTCCTTGAGGGCTCTGGCTCAATCAATAAAGAATCTTACGAGCTTTTGGATTCATCTGCTATTGAAAAAAACTTCAAATATCAGACCCAATTGGGCAAAGTTGAAAATGTTGAAGATCTAAAACACTATGCTCAAAATATATTAAACGAGGTCTTAGTAGACGAAAAGTCATTGATAGTAACGATGCTTGATAGAATAATGGAAGACGTACAAAGTTTAAATGACGATGTTATGAAACCAGTCCAAGCTAACATTGAAAAAATTTTAGAAACTTTAAATAATGTCTCCGATATTAATAACAGCATTGACGACATAAAGAAATTAACGCAGTTGATAAAAGACATTACGGAAAAAAATAATTCACTATTGGATCGTTTTGCTGAACAATATGACAAAGTGATATGTCGTTTAGAAAGTATAGATAGCCGAACTGAACGGATAGAAGGTACAACTGAAAGGATTGACGACAGAACTGAAAGGATAGATGGCCGAACTGAACGGATAGAAGATACAACTGAAAGGATTGATGACAGAACTGATAGAATCGACGGCAAAACTGAAAGGATAGATAGCCGAACTAAACGGATAGAAGGTACAACTGAAAGGATTGATGACAGAACTGAACGGATAGAAGGTACAACTGAAAGGACGGATAGCCGAGTTGAACGGATGGAAAATCGATTGGGCAAAATGGAAGAAAATATAATTAATAAAATTGATGAAAAGGGAAGCTCAGAGGCAATAGCTGCAGCGACCTCTCAAGGTAAAAGGAAAGGTAAAATTGATGCATTCAATTTTATATGTAATCACAATCAAAATAATGATTCTACTGGTATGCTACCATGATCTCAGTAATGCCAGCGATAGTTTTGTTCAGTAATTACCATCTGTGATTTTAGTCTGTTGCAATTAGTATCGTAAGGGATGTTACTAATGTTACTATAAACTCTAGTACAGTACAGTATGTATTTCTTTTCTTAAATCACCGCAGCTACGGTAATTTGCTTCAATGGATTGAAATTGTTTATGACAGTATTCGCAGGTTTCTTCTAGTTAAGTGTAAAATAACTTATCCTAGGTGTGTGTACGCGTACTCAATACAAAAAGTTGTCTTCTTCGTTCACTTCGGCACTAGCTAATAGTGTTGGGTGAATCCCATCGCTGCCACCAATGATGTCACAACCGAGCTTACTGGACAAAATTGAACGGGATTCTTTCCTTTAATGTAGTCTTAACTATCGGAGCAACGAACTCTAAGCACTCTTTAATCTACCAAACTTAGATTCGAGTCTTAGACGATAGAATACTCACGTTAAGAATCAAAACTTTATTCTAAAAGCTATTGATTAAAATGACCAATGGAACTCACAACTTAGAATCGACTACTAACAACTGATAACCATCTATTATCGACTAACTTATCAACTCCCTCAATCAAGAACTTTCAGGCTTTTATAGAGCCTCACCAACTTCGTTGGTGCTAAACAATCATCCATTTATAGCCAAGTCCACCTACTGAATATAGCAAGAATCACAACACACTTTCTTTAACATTGAATAGTAGTTAATTAATGGCTAGGTGTTAACATAGAATTCATTACTCAACAAAATTATATCATTGATGATGCAATAATTCATTCATTACTACAGTCTTCTATTATTTGATCATGATTACTTTTCAATTTACTTTCTATCTCAACACCTATTTTGGGAATCCCTTGATCGAAAGATTTCTTGACGCGATCGATTTCTTCATGTAATTCTTTCTCATTAAGCAAATTCAGTACCTTTCATCTTTCGATCTTCCACACTCTCATATAGAAATTGTTCATTTTCATTCGTAAGAGTTTACTTTCAAACTGAATTAGGGTATTCTTCGAGAGACTCAAAATTATGTACCTTGGATAAAAGACTGAAGTATTTGTAATTCTTCCAATGATTAATTAGTATCAAATGGCTTAACGGTCTACTTATTATGGCTCGGCGATTTATCTGAATCGCTATACGTATGCACACTCGTATAATGATCGCAGGAAAGTGAGGGTCTGCGGTAACCCCATTATTTAACGTACTTGACTTGAAGAGGAAAATAAATAACTTTACCTTGATCAACCCAAGGGTTTCCTTGGTTAATACAAAGTTATAATTTGAACACAGTACATAAATTTTATATAATATTTAAAAATATTTAAGTGATTGATTAGTAATAGGTTAGAGTTTATAGTTAATGAAAGAATGCAGTAAGAACAACTACCTTGTAACACACAAGACTAAAGTGTATTCAGTTATATTTTTCACTTGTTAAGCGTGCGCGTATTTCCTGAATAGATTAATATGGGCTTATTCGTTTTGATTCACCATCAGTGTTACGAATATTTATTTTTGTTTGCATGAGCGACAGTTCCTAAATTTTAAAATAACCTTGTCTTATTTACATCAAGAATCACTTTACAAGTTAGTTAGACGTTCAAATACTCCTGCTATTAGATTAAAGACATTGTTTATAGAGTTTTATTAATCGTGTTTATCTTGTACCAGTGTAGAACTTGGTAGTAGTTTTATCGTTAAGTTCATAAACATGCACTATGAGTTGCATTTATAATACGAAAATAATTGTAGTAGCTCAACTCTAAAGACGAACGGCAACTGTGACATTC